ACCCTTCTTCAGAAAATTTTCTGAAGAAGGGTCTAGGCCCGAAACGTCTGCCTTTCTGCTCCTCTGATGCTGCTTGGCCTGCTGTGTTCATCCAGCTCTACACCTTGTTATCTCAGATTCTCCAGCATCTGCAGTTCCTACTATCATTGAATCATGGAATGCCTTCAGTGTGGAAGAAGGCCATTCAGCCCATCGAGTCCACACCAACCCTCCGAAGAGCATCCCACCCAGATCCACCACCCCGCCCCATCCCTGTAACTCTCCATTTCCCATGGCTAACCCACATAAGCCTGCACATCCCTGGACACTATGGACAATTTAGCATGGCTAATCCAGCTAACCTGCACATCTTTGTACTGTGCGAGGAAAACCAGAGCACCCGCAGGAACCCACGCAGACTTTGGGAGAATGTGCACAGACAGTCGCCTGAGGCTGGAATCAAATCCGGGTCCTTGGCACTGTGAGGCAGCAGTGCTAACCACTGAGCCATTGTGCTGCCCTGTCTGATGGTAGTGGTAATAAGAAAATGCCCATTTTTCTTTGCAATTACCTCAGTGCAGTGCAAGGGAGGTGAAACTACACTCCCTACGATGGAACGACTCTTAAGGTCAGCAGCAACAGCATTGAGGTTAACACTACAAAGTAAGTGTAATGAAATCTCTGTTGGTATTACAAAAATGTTTACTTTTTTCTTGTTCTTTTCAAACATTTAGCTTTTTTTAGTGATTCATTCAAAGTTATAATTGCATTAATTGTAATGAAATATTTAAATTAACTTGACAGCTTTAATGTAATTGTTAATTAATAATTGTAGGTGGATTTTGTTGTTCCTATTTATTTTAACATCGAAAGCTATTTATTGATTTCAACTGAATGAGTATAGGTGAATACATAGGTAAGGGAATAGAGAGTGAGATGACAGGGTGAGCTGGCAGGTGGGGATAGTGCGTTGGGTGTAGGGCACGATGGTTGTATAGTCAAGGATAGTAAGAACGGCCGATCCTAGAGTCAGAGATAACACAGTGTGGAGCTGGAGGAACACAGCAGGCCAGGCAACCTCAGAGGAGAAGGAAGGCTGACGTTTCAGGTCGGTACCCTTCTTCAGAAATGGACTGTATATGGGGTGTATAGTCAAGTTGGTCAGACTGTCACGTATTTTGGTGACAATGCAGAGTTGGGAGGGGTCGGGTTAGGTCCAGGAATAGTTTCAGGGAGAGTTGGGTGTCCAGAAGTTTGTAGGGAGGAGGGCCAATGTTGACATTGGGCATGGGGAGTTCTGTTTAATAATTTCGTGGGTTTAATTATTTATGATTAAATTGATTTTAATTCTGTGACTTTTCCTGAGCTAACTATTAAGCTAGGTCAGAACCATTCAAAGTCTCTGAAACAAAGCTGGGGACATTTGTTTTGGTGTTCCAGATGCCTGCAAATTGTCCATTGGTGTTTTAAACATCCCAGAAAAATCCTGAGGAGTCAACTGTGCCAGGACTAATGCATGGTTCCAATGAACAGCTGCTGCCTGTGTTGCTGCAGTTTTGTTGCACAAGTGAAATGTTCAAAAATCTTTATTGCAATGCCTTGAGTGTATTGTAGTAAAACATAATTCTCAGGATGCTGATTTCCAGTCTCTGAGGAAAAACTGAATCCCGCAGAAAAGGAACTATAGGTAGATTCAAAAGTGTAGTGATTGAATCATGTAGTCCTATTTTAACTTAATGATATATGCAATATAAAATCAAAATTTGCCCTTCATGTTCACTTGTCCTTCATATTTATGTCCCAGAGTAACAATTGGAATTCTGATTAAATTTTGATATTTAATCCTGAGATATGGCATGGCTGGTCGCGCTGCATTTACTGCCCATCCTTTTTTGGTGATAGTAAGTTTACTGTGTATTTACTGTTTGCTGTGACATCATTTCATGCAATGGAAAACTTTAGGAAACTGCTGCCATCTAATTTTGCTGCTTCTCTTTCCAGATTACAAGCAAAAGTAAAGAGTCATTGTGGGCACTCATTAAAGGTTTGAGTGATGCCTTCTCTGGGTGGCTGGTGATGTTACTGGTTGGACTTATGGCAGGTAAGAAGGACACAATTTTCTTTTATTGCATGTTGCTGTATCAGGAAGTCTTAACTGGGGGACAATCTTTTAAGTAAGTGAATGAATTAGGCTGGATTAGAAGTCCAGGCTAAGGAATGAGGTCTCAATGAATTATTAACTGGCATTTTTGTCTGGAATTATTAAGTGATCAGCATTTTAAAATCATTTATATCTTTGCTAGTTTGCTGGAGTAATTTCTTATCCTGATGATGGCCAGGAATTGAATTAATACCTATTCAAACATTTAGTGATCTAGAGCATTGGAGAGATCATCTCATCAGTGTAAAATTTACTTCCCTTATATGGATCATCTCTAATTCCTCTCAGCTGAGGTTTCTTCTCTGTCCTACTCTTGGTGGATGTTGGTGCTCATTATTTAAATGAAAGTACAGAAGAAAATGCACTAATAAAATCAATCTCCAATTAACAATTCTTTGAGATTTTGGTGAATTTTTTTCTTTTCAGCTGGATCTCTAGATTCCAAAACAACTTTTATTTAATGCCATTTTTAATCTAGCCTCTGTCACTTAATACTGTTATGTTTTAAAAAGAATGAAACTCCTGAATCCTCTTTAAAATGTTCAATTAACCATTTCAATAAACTCTTCTGATTCCAGCATGTAAAAGTTTTAAAAAAAAACCTTGACACATTATTGAGGGGATAGAATTGATAAATAAGAGAAGGGAAGATACACTAAACAAAATAATATTGTTTAAAGGCTCTTATTCTTTCCAAGAACTTGGTCAGACTTGGCTGACCTGCCAAGCACCACGATAGCTAATTTTGGGCTAAAAGGGTTGTTATGTATGTTACCTGTATCTAGACCCTCACCCTGTTTGTTTAATGTTTTACTAACATCTCCAAATGATGACTCCAGTTGATAGAATATTTTTTAGTCCTAGTTAACTTTGTTGTCCTCTGAGGTAAGTTCTCCGATATTTGCCCTTCATAACAGGAGTTTACCGATCACCTTGTAACATTTTAAATAATTCACTTAAATATGTGGAAATTGGCAAAGAATTAATTAAAATATAAAGATACAAACAGCTTTCTAACTAATACAGCTTGTGATCATGTGACCATGTGACCATGTTTTATGATACTGACCTGTACCAAAGCAACTGACATTATCAACACATTTGAAGCAGAGATTGGTGAAACACAGCCCGAAGTAAGAGCAAGAGATGGAGCGTTTAACTTAAGATCAATCTTTGATCAACACGTCAAATTCTCCGCCAGTTGGAGCCACATTTAGTACAAAGTAAGGTAGTTGTGGCTTTGAAGGTCAATCATCAAGATTGTCAGCAAGACAGCTAGAAGTGACATGAGGAGAAACTTCTTTACTCACCATTGTTATGATTTGGAATATGCTGCCTGGGAGAGTAGTGAAGGTGGATTCCATAGGTTCAAAAGAGAATTGGATATAGATTATTGGGGAGGCAATGGCCTAGTGCTACTATCGCTGGACTGTTAATCCAGAGACCCAGATAACATTCTGGGGTCCGAGGTTTGAATCGCGCCACGGCAGATGGTGGAATTTGAATTCAATAAATATCTGGAATTAAGAATCTAATGATGACCTTGAATCCATTGTTGATTGTTGGAAATACCCATCTGGTTCACTAATGTCCTTTAGGGAAGGAAACTACCATCCTTACCTGGTCTGGTCTACATGTGACTCCAGGCCCACAGCAAGGTGTTTGGCTCTTAACTGTCCTCTGGGCAATTAGGAATGGGTAATAACCACTGCCTAGCCAGCGACACCCTCACCCTGTGAATGGATAAAAGATCTGAAAGTAACGAATCTAGCTGGCTATGGAGATAAGGCTGGAGTATGGGACTAGCTGGGTATCTGTTTCAGGAGTGGTACATTTGATGGGTTGAATGGCTTCCTTCTCTACTGTAAAATTCTATGATCCTATCTCAATCCCATGACATCACTGTCAGAGTTCCTTAGGGTAATGGCCTCGCCCAACCACTTTCAGCTATTCATCAATGACCTTGCCAATGTCATAAAGTCACAAGTGAAAACGTTAACTGATTGCACAATATTCAACATAGTTTGTTCAACATCAACCTCAGTTCCTGATGGGCTGATTAGTGGCAAGTTGCTTGTTGGTGATGAACCACACGCGTTAGGCAATTGACACTTCTAGCAAGAGAGAATTTAATCACCCTTTGACATTTGGTAGAATTACTAATTGCTGAATTCCCCACTATCAACTTCCTAGGAGTTAGCGTTGACAGAAACTGAACTGGAACAGCCATATAAATGCTGTGGCTACAAGAGCCAGGAAACCTGCATCATGGGTGAATGACCTGCAGCTTCTTTCCTGACAACATCATGGGTGTGACTCCACTCCAGAATCTGCAGCAATTCAAGAGGCAACTCGCCATGATCTTCTGTAGGGCAATAAGGATAGCCAATAAATGCTGGCCTAGCCAACAACACACATCCAGTGAATGAATTTAATAAAAACAAGAATATTTGCATATTCTTCATAGACTATTAAGATGCATTCATTCATATTTTTCAGCTAAAGGTAATAGACACGTTACTGAAATATCCAGATTCTGTACTGAGACCAAATAACAAGCTTCAGACTAGAAAAGGGACACCGAGAGATCTTTCAATTGAAGAGAGAAGTATAGCAAGGCTCAGTTTGTACATATGACAAATATTCAGAGAATTAGTTCTGAAGAAGGACCGCTAGTCCTGAAATGTTAACTCTGCTTTCTCTCTACAGATGCTGCCAGACGCGCTGAGTTTTCTGGTAGTTGCTGTTTTTATTTCTGATTCCAGCAGCTGCAATTCTTTTGTTTTCTTTTTGAGAATTTGACTTACTTCTAGGGAAAAAATTGGAAATGAGAATGTAACTAAGTGGTGGTACACTAACAACATTGTACTATTTGCAGAATCAGAAGAGTCCTTCCAAAATATCATAGATCAAGTAAAATCCAGAAGATTAGAATTTGAATTGTGTGAACAGCAAGAAGACAAAAATAAAGTTAGTAGGAAGGAATACAGGAGAAGAAACTAGAATGTAGATTGAAATGGATGGTGTCAAACTGGAACAAATTAATATGTTTGTTAACTTAGGAAAAATAACTGTGGTGATACAGAAGTTAGAAAGATAAAGATGGCCTAAAGATGAAGGATGTGTTAACAGAAAAACTCAAGCTGTTAACAAGGGGGAATAAACTATAAGAATGCTATATTCTGTGCAGTTTTCCTGCATGCTCCAGGAATACAGACATTAAATAAAGAACTAAAGAAGAAAATGTGGATGTTAAAGCATATTCTAAAAGTTCTATATACCAACATAAGACAAGTGAAAAACAGCTTAAAATTACAAAAAACAGAAATAATTCTTAAAAAGTTACATCTTGAAATGAAAACATCATTAGTTCTGCCACTTGATCAGAGCTGAAAAGCTATGGAGTTTTCCTCAAGAGGGCAAAATGGAGAACAGCATACGGAGCAGTCAATCCGGGTATAGTTGAATGACAAATGTCAGAGTGACTGCAGATGAGGTATAGCGAATCTGTGAGGATGGTGTGAGACAGATCAGCGTGGTCTACAGTGACTGCAAATCTCCTGGCAGAGGTATCTACAAGCAGCAGAACAGATCAACAAAGTGCAAATATTAGTACAGTAAAAAAACATATATTTGGAAGGTTTAAAACTAATATTCTAGAAATCATGTTCACTTAGTTTTTTTTAATGCGTCACCTAATACCGGAAAACTAGAATGGTTTTGAATCTTAAGTGAAAGTAATGAGAAATGTAAGAACTAACCAACAAACCACTTCTTGTGATGCAACTTTTTTTTCCTATAATCTACTGATTTAGCTAATTGTTGAATAGAGTGTGAGGGTCTGAAAAGGTTAAAGCTGAAGAGTATCTTGAGCACTACCTGCTGTAGCGGTGTCATATGGGCTTGGTGGGGGTAGCTTAGGATCTTAAAGGTGTGAGACCTCCTGTCAAGATTTTATTGAACTTCTGTGACAATGTCTGTCATATTAATGTAAATTGTACATAGTTGTTATCATGCAATAAGCTTGTTGAAGACAAGAACCTCTTTTCATTTGACTACCAAGTCTACCACACTATCATAAGTTGGCCCTGTCGATCTCTACCCTGAAAACAGCATATCTACCTTGTAGTGAGCAATTGTACAGAGAGCTCATATAATATGATGAGTAGTGATATGGATTGCTCATGCAGTACATGTTAGAAATGAATATCATTAAAAAGAAAGCCATTTTGAAATCTAAAGCAGCTCTTTAATTACCAACTCCTGACCTACTCAAGCATTGAAAACTGCCACCCAAAAATGGCTGAGTAGAAATTTCTTCCAATTAAATATTCTGGTTCCTGCCATCAACTCCATTCCCTAGCCATTGATGCCATAAAAACAGGAAATAGGTCAGGAATAGGCTATTTGGCCCTTCAGGCCGTGTCATTCCATTCAATAAGATCAAGACTGACCTGATTACGGCCTCAACTTTTCTGCCTGCTCCTCCTTAACCCCTTAAAAACATTGCAAGAATAGGCCATTTAGTCCCTGAAATCAGTTCCACCATTCAATTAGATCACGGCCGATCTGTATCTCAACTCTCTTTGCCAGTCTTGATCCTACAGCCTTTAATGCCATTGATCTAGCAACAATCAATCTCGTATTCAAAATTTTCAATTGATCTAACCTGAACAGCTTTAAGGAAGTGAGTATGAGATTTTCGCTATTCTTTGTGTGAAGAAGTGCGTCCTGACATCATCCTAGAGCAGATTGGGAAGAAACGTGGGCAGGTGGATGCTCCTGTCAATGGGGTAAGTGGAGACCTGGTGTGTTGCAAAGCCTGTGAGGTTCATAGAAAGGCTTACGGCAAGGGGATCTAGATGTCCTGGGTCTTACTGACACACACAGGCAGAGGCTACCAGCCACTTGCCAAAGTGCACACCGGCTTCCTTTTCTCTCTCTCTCTGTCTCTCCACGTCTTCAGAGGTCCATTATGTGGCTTCTTGGGGAACTGGCCTGTTTACCGTGTCATGGTGGAAATGCTGGCAATTACCTGCAAGACAAAAGAGGGAGTAGACATCATGGTAAGAAGTGGGATGCAATGAATGAAACTACTGCAGGGTTACAGTGACAGTTCTAGTGAAATGAAGTGTGGTAGTAATTATGTTGGCAAGTTGGAGGAGGCAATGGGTGAAAGTGTTTGAACAAAGATGTTGCAGGCAATAGTGAGAATCAGCCTTTGTGGGAGGTGGGTGCAGTAGCAGAGACAGAGTGTGAGGTAGCAGAGAAAAGAACGTGGCACTTACTCTGGCAGAATGGACAATGTCATTGGCTTTCTTACAGCACCCCAAACAGTTGAAATAGCACTGACCTAGGTGGTGATCTCTGAGCAGGCTGCCAGGGTCTGGTACTACAGTCTTCTCTGCCAGTCCTCTGGGAAGGCGACTCCTCTCCTTTGCACTGCCCCCCTCAAACAGGTCTCAAGTTCTTGATAGGGAATCCGGACCTAATCAGTAGATGGCAATAATATCTACTTCAACATCTTTTCGACTCTGTGTCTTTGACCAAGCAGGGCACCTTCATAATTTCAGTGTTCATCTGTGTGCACAGTGACCTTTTAAATATGGTGCAGATGCAAGGAATGCTTTTAATTTTGACGCATATTTGATAAGCAGCAAGTTGTTCTGGGAATAGCATGTGGTAAGGTGGGGTTAGAATCCGAGCCTGCCACAGGGGTGGGATAGGTGATTATTAAGGTGTATTTGCTATGATGCAGTGAAAAATTATGCTGGGCCTTGTAAAAAGAATCCCTACAGAAAACTTGACACAACTCACACTTAGCCAATAAAAAGCGAAGTGTTTGTGCTTCAACGCTTGTTGAGCACTTACATAGCTGTAAAGCTGAAAAGAAACAAAATGGGTGTTACTTCTCAGAGAAAAAACAGAGCAGATGCGTTTCTGGCAGCAATGTGTGAAAGTTTGGACAGAGTAACAATGCCAATCGCATGAATCTTCAGTTTTTGCCTTAAATCACAAAGCTGTATGCCTTTGAGCTTGAGAAACTCTGAAAAATGAGGATGCTGGCCTACGTGGGCAGTTTGGTGTAAACCTTGATACCTGACCTTAAAAACAAATGGAGGTAACTGATAACAGGGTTAGGTTTATTTCAGTTTTGAAAATTGAAGTGATTTGAATGAATTTTTAAGATGTTAAGGGGAACTAATAGGGTAGATAGAAAATAAATTATTTCCTCTGTTAAGGCAATTGAAGAATAGATGATGTGGGTTGATGGTTTTCTTTTAACTAAAGGAAACAGTTGATAATAAGGCAAAGATGGGTATATGAAATTAGGTCACAGACGAACTTCTTTTAATGGCAGAACAGGTTTGAGGGGCTAGGTTCCTATACTTCTAAAACACTGTATTTTACAATTTGTGTTAATTTTTAATTGTAACCTTTGCTTCCTCCTCACTTATCATTTCTATCCATCTGGCTATTCTTTTTGATTCCATGTAAAATTACCTTTTTTGTAAAACACTTATTCAGTGCTCCTTCAAATTACATAAAAAAGCAGATACTTTTTTTTTAAAAGCTTCTTGTTTACTGCTTAAAGATTGATCTGGCACAACCCTGAATGGATCACGTTTTTCCAATATCTTAATACTTTTATCCCATCTTCTAGGACTTATGAACAATTGAAACAAAACTAACATTGCCTGTGTACCTCTATCTTTTCAGAAGACATCATCATATTTCCCAAACTTTGGGGAAATTTTATTTTCCACAACATTTTAGAATGCACAAAAGTGATAGAGTCGGTTTTGTCTCGACAACTGCAAAATAATGCACTTTGATGTTAAGAATATGATGAGAGAGTTCAACTTGAGGTAAAATTTTGTAAAGGAGAAGGCAGTCATTGTGTGTGGAAGGTCAATAGGGTAGCAATGCAAATGGGTAAAACCATTATCATTGGTTTTATACAATACCAGAATAAGAAGGTGATATCAAACAAAACTAGAGTGGCCCTCAGTTGGAGTACTTCATGCAGTTTTGGAAACCCCATTCATACCTCTCTATCTTTTGCATTAATTTTACTTTTCTTATTATTTAGTAAATTTGAACCTCACTGTATTCTTCCTCAAGCTTCATTCAGGAGCCTCAGAAGTAAATCACTAGTCTCCGACGATATTTCTCTTTAGTATCAGAAAACCTTTGACTGTTAGTCTCCAAATCTGCATCTACTCCCACTTGTTCCAAAATTTCAGGTGTACCATTGCACTCCAAGCTTACCTCCTTTATCTCCTAAAATAACTCTTAATACTACTTTGTTAGCCCTCTAACTAGTAATGTATCTACAGGAAGCTTTTTGTTAAATACCTTTTGTTTTTTTTCCTTATTTTCTCTTGTAGCTGCTTTACAATTTTCCTGTATTCTTTATTGTTTTGACTTTCTTCCCTGTTACCTGTTCTGAGTGTTAAGTGTTGTGTTAATTTAAAACTTGATTTTGTTGGTCTCCTTATCCATAAATATTAGTCTTTGCTTTTTCTAATCAAAAAGAAAATATTTTTACTTATTTTGTATTATTCAATATTACTTGTTACTACCTATTTCCATTCCTTTTGAGTCTCACTTTTTTTTAATCCAATATGCTTTTTCCAATAAAGTGTATTTTTCTTGGAAAAACATTTGAAAAATGCAAAAGGCCAATATACTGGAGAACGGACAGAATCAATAACTAAACAAAACCTGCAATCCTTTTACTGACTATTAAAGTAATCAAGTACACTGTCTTATGCCTAGGTGCTATTGCTGGTTTGATCGATATGGCTTCTCACTGGATGACAGATCTGAAAGAAGGCGTCTGTTTAGTGGGGTTCTGGTACAACCATGAACATTGTTGCTGGACATCCAGTGAAACCACTTTTGAGCAACGAGATAAATGCCCACAGTGGAAGTCTTGGTCGGAGCTGTTTCTCAACCAGTCGGATGTAATTAGATATCTTTATTTCTTTAATTTTTTTGATAGTCCCTAACCTTTGACTTGTCCAATATTTATTTCTCCAGGTAAATTTAACCATGTATTTTCTTATGAAATGCAAGATAATTTTCCATCCTTAACCAGTATAAGCAGAATTCCTTCTAGGCCATTTGAGAAATGCTTGGGGTGTCGATGATTTCCTTCAGCAGAGTACAGGGTGACTTTGGCATCAACAACCCTGAAAGCTCAGTAACAGCTTCTGTGGACACATGCAATGTTAATGATACTGAATTGAAGAGATAATTTAAAGCCTTTGAAATATATTCCCTGTTTTCACTAAATATTTCCTGTATTTATATTAGAAACACATTTATGTAAATAGAATAGTGTTTCTGAAGAATATGTTCTTCAAGAGAATTAAATGCCCACTGTCTTTGCTGAAAAATTACTGCTCAACTTCAAGATGAGTAGCCTCTGAGCAATAAAATAGTAGTTCTGTCTAGATGACTTATTATAAATAGCCCTGAATTGGAGTTTGGGTAAATCTGTTTGAAAGGTTAATGGAGTAATGATGGCTGGAGCAAGAACTCACCATACTGGCTTAATGTGCTTGAAGATTCAGTGATATGGGTTGTGCCCATTGTGTTGCAACAACCCAAAATCTTTCAAAATATCTTTTTCATGCGCGACTTTAAACTGTTAGATGAACAGTTCACGTTAAATTTTTGGTAAGTTAAAATGTGAATGGAAAATGCTGCAGTTGCACTAGGATGAGTCCATATAGTGTGCTTCAGAAACACTCTTCGCATGTAATGCAGTAAATGGAATGATAAGCTGCTATTATATGATCATTTTATGAATAGGTTCTGGAAATATATGATCATTTTATGAATAGGTTCTGGAAATATATCAAATTTTACCAAAAGATCTCTGGGAAAGTTAACTGAAGTTTTAATGTAAATCATAAATGATTTTTCTTTACTGTCAATGTCCTATCACGCATGTAGATATGAGTTATAATTTTTATGTTGTGTTAAATGTTCCAGGGAGCTGGTGCATACATATTGAATTACTTCATATATGTTAGCTGGGCTATGGCTTTCGCTTTCCTGGCTGTGTCTTTGGTGCGTGTATTTGCACCTTATGCTTGTGGATCTGGAATTCCAGAGGTAAGCCTGAAGTTTATTTTTGAGGAATTTGAGATTTCTTCCACAACTAGCACAATGTTACAACTAATAAATGTACTTTAAATTATTCTATAGGTTTTTCTTTTGTCCCTTAATGTTATTAACCCAAAAATAGTGATCTCAAAGCTTTAAATACAAATTTTCTGTTGTGCCACTCTTCGTTGTTAATTGTTCTTATTATTGATTGTACTTTTTAAAAAAAAAAAAAAAAAATTTCTGGGCATTTTTTGGGTGTGTTTTAGACCTCTCAAAACTTAGTGAAAACTAATTCAGTATAAGAAGAACATCACTGCTTAACGATTAATATTATCTTTCAAACCAGAGACGCTGACTCTGGTCAGGGCATTTCCCTGAGAAATGACCCAGTAATAGCTGTCACTTATTTTGTTCAGTTGAAACAGGTTTCAGTTCATACACCATACACATGTTCTTTCTGTCTGCAAACTAAAGGGCCCTGCATATCAAATATGTGGTTTCAATTATATGAAAGTGTGCCACACAGCGAGCCCAACTGACATACTGTGCCTGTTTCAACTCAACAAAGCAGGTCACACATAAAAAGGAAATTACTGGAGAAACTCAGCAGGTCTAGCAGCATCTGTGGAGGGAAAGCAGATTAATGCTTCAGGTCCAGTGACCCTTCTTCAGAAAATAGGTGACTTTCATTCATTTCTCAAATGTGTTCATTTCTCAAGCCAATACCCTGACCAGTCAGAGTCAATCAATCTGATTTGAAATCTAAACAAAGCCTGACAGTTAATAGTCAATCATTGTTAACTGCTACATTCTCTATAACAATGCCTCTAACAGTCTGAGTCCATTTGCGAACCAATCAGCAATGCACCTTCAAACAGTATAAATGTTGGTTTTCCCCTTTATTGGTATTCTTCCTAATTGTCCTGCTGAGTACAAAAGCTTCAACAAAATGTCTTTTTTAATAATGTTCAAGTTCTGTCCCACCAAATCATTATTTCCTTAATGATAACCCCTATAAAGGCTGTGGCTGCAAGATTCTTTATCTTTGCACTGCCAAACTTATCCTGATACACGGAGGACTCTGCATGGACATGGATACATGTATGAGCTCGAACATGTGAAAAAAAATACTTTCCAAATGCCATGCAGCCCCACCAGGTGATATGATGCCAGGCGACCAAAAATGAACAAAGCACATCCTGGTAACATCTGTACTGATGACTATTTTTAAAACCGATGCCTGATCCATTTTCAAGGCCTGACCTCAATAATGGACTGCTGTTTGGCTTGTCAGCCAGTTAATGAATGGAACCAGCACGGACACCCTGCATGCTGCCCTAAAATACCAGTTAGGGCCCTAAGTATGTCATAGGACAACAATTTGTATATTCAAATTGCAAGAGCCCATTTAAGGTGGACACTTCAGTTACTTCGTGGTAGGCCTTAGGGAGGATAAGGACAACCAAATCGAGAGCATGGTAGTAAGTCATTGTGCACAATTTTGGAACGCTACTTTCCCATTTTGTACCAGGTTGGATAGCTCAAGGCCAACTCCATTGTCTCCTTAGTCAGTTAAATTCTGAGCCTTTAATTTATTAGCTGCTAATAAGGTTTTACAATGGACAACTTGTGCTCTTTAAACTAAAAACTTCACACTTCTTTGAACTTCCAGAACTTAATAATGTTTACAACTGTTTTGCCATTTACTTCCAGATTAAAACCATATTAAGTGGCTTTATCATTAGGGGCTATCTAGGAAAATGGACTCTGATCATAAAGACTGTTACCCTGGTTTTGGCTGTGTCTTCAGGCCTCAGCCTGGGAAAGGAAGGTCCTCTAGTGCATGTGGCCTGCTGCTGCGGCAATATTGTTTGTCATCTGTGTACAAAATATAGGAAAAATGAAGCTAAAAGGAGAGAGGTAAGTGGATGTTGGTGTGTTGTAATTAGTATTATTGCACCTATGCTGCAGTGTTCAATCTAAACAGATTAGTACAGAGCTGCTAATGATCTGGCAAAGATGTAAAAAATGAATTCCCCCATAGGAATATAACATTCAAGAAGAGCTGTATTACTGGAGGGGATTTTAGTGAAAGATGAGAATTTTGAAAGAATTTGCATATTAAAGTGTGAATTTTATATGTTGGGCATTGGGTGACAGGGAGTAAAGTAATTCGTCAAGAGCAAGAGTAATTCTTGAGCGGGATGTGGTGCAGGTTAGGATAGAGTTTGGAAATAGCTGTAAATTTTGGAGGATAAACATGAAGCAAGGTGGAATGAGCATTAGAAGATAAATTCTGGAGATAAAAAAGGCAAGTTGTATGTTAGATCCATGTCTCCTTGCAAGCTTGTGGTTCTTCCTGGCATAAAAATAATGGAAAAGAGTGAAGACCAACTGCAAAATTTACTAACTTTCATGAAAAGGTATGTTAAAAAGGTGCAGACTGTTGTTACAGTCATAACATCTAATACTTGAGTAGCTATTACTGTAAAATTGGAGGCCTTGTTTCCCAATTTAAGTTGCAAACCTGCAAATCTGTTCCATTCAGGAGACAGTCACTTTTCTGGACATTTTGACACAGTAGATTTCAAGAATCCTACTGAACTTGACCATTGTAGCTGTTCCATGTGGATTTGGCTCCAACTTAGAACTATTAAATATTGAGCAATGCATTAGTACTTTCATTCAGGCCACAGGGATGATTCTTGAGAAATATAATGTTACTCTACAGTTAGGGTGTGGTTGATATGTGTGCTTATTTGTAAGGAAGGCTAGGAAGGTGGGAATTGAGATGCAAAATAAGATTAATTAATTTTGCTGTACAAAGAATGCTTGATGTTGCTACTTGTTGAGAAAAGTGGCCATAATCAGTTTGCCATTATTGCTACCACTCATTTTAATGAATACACCTCTGCTTAAAAAAAAGACACAGAATATACAATAAAGAAATGCACCAAGGGAGATAAGAATTAGAAGAAAATATAACTCCAAAGGAGTAAATGCTACATAACACCACTGTCCCTTTTTGTGTACAGACGATAAGTTATGATTTGGTTCCCAGTGGAAAAATTAGCATGTAGAAAGAGTGATAATTAACCTGTTTGGGAACTAAACTGATGAAAGATTTGTGTAGGTTTAGAATCCTAATTCCTGAGGGGAAGAGAAAAACAGTGACAGAGAATGAGATCAGATTGTGGCCAGATGTGGAGTCTCATATGTGACGAATGAATTCATATTACACATAGATACATTTACCATCTCCAGAAAAATTAAGGAAGTTTCAAGTCTGCATTGCAGATAACTGAACTGTATTGCAAAGCTTTACTTTACAAATATTTTACTGTGACTAGTACTTTGTCTTTCATCATCATAGCCAAATGTATCCAAGAAATAATGCACATCTGGACAGACTGTTGTGTGATCTCCACCCATTCTTGAAGAATGCAGATGTAGAATATAAATGGTCACTTTTAATCTGAATTTTCAACTCTTGCCCAACTTCAGTATGTAGATGCTGGCTCATCTCCCTGAATGATAATTAAATAACTCCAGTAGTACCTCAGATCTTTGACCTCAAAACAGCACATAAACTTCTATTAGCTATGTTTGAATCCCATCACACATGCACACTGTAAGTGTGCCATCTTTGTTTGCCAAATTCTACATGGTTTCATCTTTATTGATTTTGTTTTCTAGGTACTATCGGCAGCTGCAGCAGCAGGTGTCTCTGTTGCTTTTGGTGCCCCCATTGGAGGAGTTTTGTTTAGCCTTGAAGAGGTAGGAGATTTTGTCATAATTTAATTTTAACAAAATTGAATAACAAGAACTTTTTCAATAGCCAGGCAGCAGCACAGGTTTATACTGCTGGGGTGAGGGGAGAAATTCACCAAGATTATCACTGAAGATTGTACTGAGAATTGCTGAAAGTATTAGATAGAACTTGGATTCCTGTGCATGTTGGTTACCCAGCCAAGCTGGATTCATTCTGGCATTTTTATTTTCTGTGAAGCTGTTTCTGAGTTTAATCTAGTCAGTTGATTTCTATTTTTCTTTTTACCAGACAACTTATTAGAAGGAATTTTTTTTGGGCACTTTTTTGAAGGTTATGTTAAGATATATTGTTTTATTTTTGAAGTATTGAATGCAATCGAACATAATGCACACTGAATTAATTAGCAGTTTTTCTAAAATAGTTAGTGAATACATTCCTTGTTTTAGCATTTTATAATCTTTCAATATTATACAGGGCTGTAGAAGTGTTTCTGCACAGTGGTGGGTTAAAAACTGAAGGAGTCAATATTCAAATACATTGACCACTATAACATCAGGCCTTGTGGAAACATAGGCATCCTATCTTTGGAACATAGCTGTCAGCCGAATATAGATTGTATGGTTGTATTAAAATGGATATTCTGTACTGTCCCAACCAGTGGATCTGGAGTTCATGTTTCTCTTTGGAAATTTTAACAATGATATCCTGGAGAATGGATAACTGGGGCCAATCTATAGAACTGCAAATTGTACTAACTTAACATCAGAGATAACCTTGTTATCTAACATGAGTGCAATCAGAAGGTGCAAAACCTTCCTTTTCTGAGCAGATTTTAGTGACTGTATCCAATGGTTGACAATCTTGGCTTTAGCTACCTTTCAGATTGTTGAATTAGCCAAACAATATCAAAAAGGGGTGCTGGAAACATTGACACTGGTTGTATAATTGTTCCAAAAGACTAGATAACTGTTTCCTTGTTTCTATGTCTTTTATCCCCCTCCAGGTCAGCTACTACTTCCCTCTGAAGACTTTATGGAGATCATTTTTTGCTGCATTGGTCGCAGCCTTCACACTCCGGTCTATTAATCCATTTGGGAATAGTCGCCTTGTGCTGTTCTATGTAGAATTCCACAGCCCCTGGCATTTGCTGGAATTAATCCCTTTCATCCTTTTGGGTATCTTTGGAGGACTATGGGGAGCTTTTTTTATTCGTGCCAACATTGCCTGGTGCAGAAGGCGCAAGACCACCAAGTTAGGGAAGTACCCAGTTCTTGAGGTCCTTGTTGTGACTGCCATCACAGGTATTGTAGCTTTCCCTAATGACTACACTAAGATGAGTACCAGTGCGCTCATTTCAGAGTTGTTCAATGACTGTGGACTTTTGGATTCATCACAACTCTGCGATTACATCAATGATGTCAACAGCACCAAAACAATTGATGACTTGCCAGATCGCGCGGCAGGTAAAGGTGTCTACATGGCAGTTTGGCAATTGGCTCTAGCACTGGTGTTTAAAGTTTTCATCACAATATTCACATTTGGTATGAAGGTAAGGAGGAATTTCTGAGAGACAAATATTTTACATGTTTAAATTCTTGAAAGATACTGGGGTAACGATGTATGAATGGATTTGCTAACTGCATTTTAAATTTGCAAGTGATAACAGCAGAACAAGTACAAAGTAACATTAATAATTTTTATAATATGGCATTGCTTCTGAGAATGCTGGTGGATATTCAATTACCAGAGGTATCATCGCAAAAGGCAAATCTGTTGTCAGTTGACATCCATACCTGTGTGTTCCCATCGAGGGTAGTAACAGAAGTAGCAACTCTGGTAATTCTGTGCCCCTTATCCACACTTCAATTGATAGGAAAATAAATGTACGATCCTCATCATTCCCACAACTGAGGTCAGCGATCTCAATATTAGAAAGGCACTACACTGTCAAAAATTATGATCCCGTGATTAAATATTAAACCAAGGCCAATCAGGCTGTTCAGGTAAATGTCCAAGATCACATGCTTTTATTTGAAGACTAGAGCAATAGTTTTCATGTTGTCCGCTTCAGTATTTATCACTCAACCAGTTTAAGTTGGATTATTTAGTCTTCTAACTTTTTGTTGGTTGGTGGATCTTTCTGTGAGCCAATAAAATATAGATCTATTAGCTGGCTTCTCTCCACATTTTAGAACATAAGAGCTAAGAGCAGGATGAGGCCATTCAGCTCCTATAGCCTGTTCCACCATTTAATACGATCATGACTGATCTCATCTTGGCTTCAACTCCACATTCCTGCCCACTTTCCATAAGTCTTTAACTCATTACTAAATAAAAATTTGTCTTTCTGCTCCTTAAATTAACTCCATGTCCCAGCATTCACCACACGCTGGAGTAGTGAATTTCACAGTTTCACAATCCTTAGAAAAGTAATTTCTCCTCATCCCTTTTCAAATCTGTTACCTCTTATCCTAAAATGTACGACATTTCATTCTAGATTTCCCGACATGAGGAAACATCTCCTCGACATCTACTTTATCAATTCCCTTTAGTATCTTGTATATCTCGATTGTGTCTCGTCTCAATCGCGTAAACTCCAGAGAGAGTAGGCCTAAATTGCTGAATCTCTCTACATCTCCTGAACCTCCTCTGAACTGCCTCCAATGCAGCTACATTCCTCCTCAGGGGAGGGAACCAAAACAGAATGCAGTACTCCAGGTACAGTCTCAGTAATGCCTATACAGGTGCAGTGATACTTCCCTACTTTTATACTCTGTTCCTTTATCAATAATGGCAAAATTCCATTGTCTGATGTTCTTGCATACTAGGTTTGTGCGATTAGTGCATGAGGACACCCAGATCCCTCTGCATTGAAGCCCTCTGGAGTTTCTCTCCATTTAGGTAATGATACTACCATCTAAGTTATTAAAATAGGTAGTAAATATTTGGTACCCAAGGACCCAACCCTGTTGCACCCCACTAGTTACATCTTGCCAACTAGAAAACTCTCTGTCCAAGCTTATAAATTACCCCTAATGCCATGTGATCGTACGTTGTGTAGTACCCTTCTGTACAGCACCTTCTGATTTTTTTCTAGAAGGCCAGATAAACCACATCTACAGGATACCCATTATCCACCTTGCTTGTTACATCCTCGAAGAACTTTAGTCAAACATAATTTACTCTTCTTAAAACCATGCTGACTCTTATGGATTGCATTTTTCCTTTCCAGATATCCTGTTATTACACCTTTAATAATTTATCCTAACAATTTGCCAACAACAAATGTTAAACTAACTAGTCTACAGTTTCTGACCATCTGCATCCCTCTCTTTTTGAACGATGAAATTATATAAGCATTTTCCTTTCCTATGTACCAGGGAACTTTGGAATATTCTAACCTAAATTTATGGAGCCTCTCAGCTGCTCGATCGTCAGACTGGTATTCAACATTCACCTCCTTTTGCTTCACATTTTCTTTCAGACTTTTCTAGCCATGTCAGTACTCTTCTGTGTAGCCTCCAGATCTTCCCCACAGATCACCAGAAGCTAAGATGGATGCAGTTAATTTTGTTTAAACTTTAAGTCTAATTTATTATCACAGATGAATTCTGTTCGTTCTAGAGTTTCAGGATCTTGATCTAATCAAGTTTAAGTATGCCCTTGTGCGTTTATCAAATGTGGCTGGACCAGTATTATTGACCATCCCTAAATGCTGTTAAACGAAATGGCTTGCTGGCCTATTTCAGAGGGAAGTTAGGAGTCAACCACATTGTTGTGGGTCTGGAGCCACGTGTAGGATGATAGATTTTCTTTGCCAAAAGGTTGCTAGCAAGCCAGACAGGTGGTTACAACAATCAGCAGTAGGTAACATGGTCGCCATTAGACTAGATTTTTAATTCCAGATATTATTGTGTTCAAATTCCGTCTGAGATGGGATTCAGGCTGATGTCCCAAGAACATCAGCCTGGGATGCTGGATTACTAGTCTAGTGATATTACCACTGCCTCCCCATTATAGTACTTAGAAATAGTTAAGTGCATTGGAAATAATTCAAATGAACAAAACCTAAATGCTAATAATATTGGAAATCAAGGTGGTTTTATTGGAGACAGAAAACTTTGAAATAATGAAGTAAATTGATGTAGGTTTGGATATTTATTTTACTGAACCTTCAAGTGGAAATTGGGATAATGTAATGGAAATCTCGCGTGAAAACATAAGTGAGTATCACTCTTTGAATGAAAGATTGCTGCAAAGGATCATAATTATGGATCCAACTGGAACATTTAACAAAATGAGAGGGTAAATTTCTGACTGAACAGAAAGATAAGGTTCAAAAACAGAAGTTGCTAGAGAAGCTCAGCAGGTCCGGCAGCGTTAGTGAAGAAAAATCGGAGTTAACATTTCGGTTCTGGTGACCCTTCCGCGGAACCTATTCTGAGGAAGGGTCACCAGCCCTGAAACGTTAACACTGATTTTTCTTCACAGATGCTGCCAGACCTGCTGAGCTTTTCCAGCAACTTCTATTTTTGCTCCTGATTTACAGCATCCACAGTCCTTTTGTTTATTTTAGAAAAATCCGTTTATTTAATATAAAGTGAAAAAATGTATAATGTTGCAACTGTTCCTTCAGTACTACGTTAAAGCAAATCCATAATGCTGAAAGCATTAATCGATACTGCTGGAACAGGACAGTGCAGTGTGTTACAACAAATCAGCACAATATGGTTTGATCAATATAATAGTTAGATTGCAAAAGGCCTGTGACTACCATTGTAGGGTTGATTGGCACTTTTGGTACTTCATTTTTGTCGAAGTGTTGATTGAGGATTTGCTGGCTCCAATTAAAAGTGTGCTGTAAGATTATAATGAAGGTGAATTATATTTATTAAGGTCTGAAACTATAATAGTTATGCATGTTAAACCTCTATAATGTGACTGCTGTTCTTCAATACTAATGAAGGTTCCCTCAGGACTCTTCATACCAAGCATGGCTGTGGGTGCAATAGCTGGAAGACTTCTAGGAATAGGAATGGAACAGCTGGCTTATTATCACCATGACTGGATCATCTTTAAAGGTTGGTGCAGTCCTGGAGCTGACTGCATCACTCCTGGGTTATATGCCATGGTCGGTGCTGCTGCATGCCTAGGTAAGAAAATTAATTTCAAACATTAACTTTTTTATCATTAAGAGTTAATAGTACTTCCTCCACTGCCGGATTAGTTTTATGTCCAATAATATGTGGCACATTTTAGGTAGAAAATTTATTGTGCCTTCCCTCTATGGAAGTAAAAATAAGCTTTTGTGCCTTAACACATTATTTTGGTTTGGTAATTGTGTACAGACAGTCATTTTTGTTCAAAGCAATCAAATTAATGATCAAGTAATCTGTTTCATTGATGTTATGGAGAATACTGAGAGATCGCCATACTCACAATCTGAAATAATTTTAATAAACCATTCCTGTTTTTCCCTTTTCAGTGTTATTATTAAAATTCATATATTTGATCTTGCATTCCCTCTAAACCAAGTACTGCAGTTTTGTGCTGCTGTGATAGGTGCATATTCTCCTGAACACACACAATCCGAGATTGCTGATGACCTTGAACTTCATTTCTTTCTAAACTACTCTATTAAAAAGCTATTAAAAATGCCCCACAGTTAAATTGTGCTCAGATTCTACATTAACTAAGCAATATTTATAGGTAGAAATTAAGCAAACAGAACATTCAGAACAGCACAAGATAGGTAGATGACAACAGTAAAATCTCTGGATATTTGAAAACAATGCTTTTCACAGCAATTAATATAATTAAGCTCATATTGATTGTGTTCAGCTGTTTATTTTAGTCATTTATCTTGGTGACATGCCAATAACAGGGCAGATCGATAAGAAGTACTTACAGAACTTGGACATAGTTCTTAGACGTTTCTCCCAGGCAGGTGTAGGCCTTAAGGGAAAATGTATGTTCGAGGCACCCCAAATGACCTACTTGGGCTACAGAGTCAACAAGACCAGGTTACATCTGTTGAAAGATAAAGTGAGGGCAATCAAAAGTGCCCTGGCTCCCATGTCTGTACTGGAGCTTGGGTCTTTCCTTGGGCTGGTGAATTAATACAGAAAGTTCATATATAACCTGGCTTCCATCCTGGTACTTTTACATCAATTCTTTATAAAACGGTCAGCTTTGGAAATGGTCACGTAGCCAAGCCATCGCTTTTAGGGAAGTGAAGAAACAGCTGTCATCTTCTAAGGTGTTAACACACAGTATGATCCTAAGCGAGATCTGGTATTGACTTGCAATGTCTCCCCATACGGCATCGGTGTAGTATTAGATCATACATGGCCCAATGGAGAAGAATGTCCAATAGCATATGAATCCAGGACTTTGGCTAGTGCAGAGTGTAAATATGCCCAGATATAGAACAAAGATTTGGCGGTCATACTTGGAATTAGGAAGTACCACCAACACTTTTACATACGTGAATTTATAATAATAAAGGACCACAAACGCTTGCTAGGTCTATTTCAAGAGGACATGGTAGTGCCACCCATAGCTTCAGGTCGAATTCAGTGGTGGGCTCTAATACTAAGTGCATATAATTTCAAGCTGGAACACTGTCTGGGGGGCCAAGTAGCAAAAGTGGATGCATTGAGTCACCTGCAACTGTCAGATATACCACCAGTGGTACAGCCACTGGAAGAATCCATAATGGTTTTAAATTTTCTGGACACACTTCCAGTCACAGCTGACAATATCAGATTTTGAACACAGAAAGATCCAATCCTGGCAAAACTGAAACAGCTGGTGAGAATGGGGAAAAGCCAAGGCCTGACACAACCAGAATTGAAAGACCAGATCACCATAGAGGATGGCATATTACCGGAGCAAGCGTGATTGTCCCCAGCAAAAGTTGCTGCAGATACTGGCTAAACTCCACAAGGGTTATCCAGGTGTGTCCATAATAAAGACGTTGATAAGTTATGTCTGCTGGCCAGGATTAGATGCAGACGTAGCTGCATTGTGGGGCAGTGCCCAGAGTGCCAACGAGGACAAAAACTACTGCCAGCACTCCCCCAACCGAATCATGGGAATGGCCGGTTAAACCCTAGACTCAGTTGCATTGTCAACTATGCAGGTCCTTTCATGGGGTCAATGTACTTAGCCATTTTGAGTGCTTGTCCACAATGACTGGATGTGCATAGTGCTTATCAAACACGAGGATGAAGATAGGAAAACCGCACGTCTTTTGCAACAGCAGGAAGTATTGGTCACAGATCAGGGACCATCATTTATCAGCAGGGAATTTGAGTATTTCCTAAAGTCGAATGGTATTCGATACACAACGACAGCTCCATAGTATCCATCATTCAATGGTCTGGCAGAAAGAGCGGTCCAAATTTTGAAGGCCGGTTTAAACAGCGTACAACTTCACTAGATACCAAACTGTCCCAGTTCCTATTTGATTATAAGACCATCCCTCATGCAACTACAGGAATAGCTCCAACAGAATTGCTAAGAAGAGGGAAGACTCTGCACCAGTTTAAATCTGATCTTCCTGGACCTGGGAGGAGTGTGAAATGGCATCAGGAACGCCAGTACCAGACACAAGACTGTGCTAAATGAGAGAGACAGTTTATTTCCGGGTATGAAATTTGGTGTAGGAACCATGGGAATGGTTGAAGTGAGGCCAGGTCCAGTGACATATAAATTTTGCGTAGGTGTGATAGTCCTGAACAAGCAAGTGGGATACATGAAAGCTGCAAGCTTGCAAGTGGGTGGGAGCAAAATGTACACGGCTCCTCGGGAAAAGTCAGAAAGGCTGGTGGAACCCGTGGGACCTCTATCGCCGTCAAGGGTTGAAGAGATCTTGGAATCTGAGGTGGACGCCATGGACATTGCTGCCTTGACACCTTTGCCAGATGAAGAAGCAAGCGAATTTCTTTCAAGATGCTTCGGGCACCAGAGGTGAGCCACTGTGCATTACAAGATACCTATGTCTGAGGCGGAGTCACAGGAACTTGACCCAGTGCTAAAATGCCCCAGGACAAGCTACAAGAAAGAGAACCATATCCTCAGACTCAAATGGGGAGTGATTTACTGATTGTAACAAGGTCAGCCAGATGGACTTCATAGAATATGAGTTCCCTGATTGGACCAGGTTAACAGCTCCAATCCGGGAACCCTGGCTGACAGATAAAAACAGGCACGTCAGGCATCCTGATGCTCCGAGCGAGCTAGGCCAGTGTCAAGGGCTTTTAATGTGTAAATACATGGTGACTTGGTGGTGGGATACCGGCCTCTTTGGAGACCACACCAAATCAAGTATCACTTGCTCTCTAGTCTACTCAAAATGTGCTGCTCTAAGAAACAACTTTGAAAGCATTTTATGATCTGTGAAAGAGGGAAGCATCAGTTATCCCACCTCAATGAAAATCTCAGATACAGCAACATTGCAACATAGAAAATAGGAGTGGGAGCCATTCAGCATGACCATGGCTGATTTTCTATTTCACAGCATACTTACATAACACAATACAGCACAGTAACAGGCCATTCAGCCCACCAAGCCTGCGCTGATTCCTAGTCCTTATTTAGACCCACTACTTATTGCTCAAATGCAGCTTCAATCTCTCTGTTCACCTCCCATTCTTGTCTGCCAAGATACACCTTAAATGTCATTAATGTGCCTGCTTTCACCATCTCTACTGGCAGTGTGTTCCAGGCACCCACTACCCTCTGTTCGAAAGTTTCCTTGCAATTGTCCCCTAAACTTTCCTCCTCTCACCTTGAACCTGTGCCCTCTTATAGTTAACCCTTCCACTCTGGGGGAAAAAACCTCAAACTATCCATCCTATTTTTGCCCCTCATAATTTTGTAAAACTCTATATGGTCGCCCCTCAGCCTCTCCCTTTCCAGTGAAAACAATCCGAGTTTATCTAACCTCTCCCCATAACTAAAACCCTCCAGACCAAGCAACATCCTGGAAAACCTTCTTTGGTTTCTCTCCAAGGCATTCACATCCTTATGGTAGTGCACGCAATATTCCAACTGTGGCCTAACTTAAGTTTTATACAGCTGTAACATAACTTGCCAACTTTTATATTCTGTGCCCCGGCCGATGCAAGCAAGCATGCTGCATGTATTCTTGACCATCTTATCCAACTGTGTTGCCACCTCAGGGATCTGTGGACCTCTACACCTGGATCCCTCTGTATGTCAATGCTCCAAAGGGTTCTGCCATTTATTGTATAATTTGCATCTGAATTTGATCTTCCAAAATGCATCACCTCGCATTTGTCTGGATTAAACTCCATCTGCTATTTGTCTGCCCAAATCCGCAATTTATATATATACCGCTGTATCCTTTGACAATCCTCCTCACTATCTGCAACTCTGCCAATTTTGGTGTCATCCACAAACTTACCAATCAGTCCACCTACGTTTTCCTCCAGATCAGTTAGGTCTATTACAAACAACAAAGGTTCCAGAACTGATCCCTGCAGAACACCAGTAGTTACTGACCTCCATTCTGAAAAGCACCCTTCCACCACTACTCTCCGTCTTCTATGACAAAGCCAGTTTTGTATCCATCAAGCCAGCTCACTCTGGATCCCATGAGACATTACCTTTTGTACCAGCCTGCCATGAGGTATCTTATCAAAAGCTTTACTAAAGCTGCCCTTTCCTCATCAGTCATTCTTGTCACCTCCTCAAAAACTCAATCACGTTGGTGAGACATAACCTTGCCCCACAAATCCATGCTGCCTATCACTAACAAGTCCATTCGCTTCCAAATGTGAATAAATCCTGTGTCTCAGTATCTTCTCCAACAGATTCCCCACCACTAATGTCAGGCTGACTGGCCTGTAATTACCTGGATTATCTCTGTTTCTCTTCTTAAACAAAGGAACAACATTACCCATTTTGGTCGTCTGGAACCTTGCCTGAGGCCAAAGAGGATGCGAAGATATCTGTTAATGCCCCAGTTACTTCTTTCCTTATCTAGCACAGTATCCTGGGATAGATCCCATCTGCCCTTGGGGACTTGTCTATCTTAATGCATTTCAAGACACCTAACACTTCCTCCTGCACGAGATACTAGGAACTGCAGATGCTGGAGTATCTGAGATAACAAGGTGTAGAGCTGGATGAACACAGCAGGCCAAGCAGCATCAGAGGA